ATATATATACATCATCATCATCATCATAGCCTTTTTCCATCTATTTGGGGTCGGCTACACGAATCTTAGTCTGCCATTCTGCTCTATCAAGGGCCACAACCTTAGTGAGGCTATAAGTTTTCATATCTTTTCTCACTACTTCTAATCATATCCTTTTGGGTCTACCCCTTGCTCTTTTTGAGCCTTCTACTGAAAGTCTGAAACACTGAAATGCATTCTAACATGGTTGGTTCTTGTTTGTTTTTTACAACCATTTTCATGTCAGGGTTTTAGCCTTTTCAGAATGCAATTGATGATCTTAGACACTACAAAGTTAATGTTTATTCACCATATTCTCGAGTATGATTCCTTTTAGTATGTTATCAATGTAGAAGCCCAAATACTGACTACACAATGACTTTGTGTTTGGCTTTGTTCTGATAGTATAATTGTTATATGTTATTACCTGTTATATCTGTATTTGGTGCAACAGTTCAGACCTTAACTCGAGGTTAACTCGAGGTTTTGGCGTGCTAATATTGTGATCCAAAATATTGGAATCTGCTTCATATTTTGCTTGTGACAGTTATCAACATTCTATCGGATCTGTTTCAAAAGCTAAGATGTGAAACCCTTGGGGATTTTAAGTTATTGACCCTATCTTCTGAGTCACATCCCTATGGCAAGTTTTGCAACAGACCCAATCTTACCATTCTCACATGGTCTAGATGTCCACCAATACGTTGACCCTCCTATGCTTCACTCTATTATGTTATTTTAAGACCCCATCTATGTTTCTTGAACAGCATATTTTAAATCGTCTTTTGACTGGAATCTTGTTGAGCACTAATCAAAATTTGATCTTGGCCGAGCCTGAGGTAATGGGATAATCTCTGAAGTTTCTACTTCATTGATTAGTGTTCAATTATAACCTAGTATGTCTTCTTGAGCTTCTACACTGAAAACACCTCAGGGGACATTGTAACTAAATCAGTGGCTACAGAATGCTTCTGGTCCTATTGCCTCAAGTAATTGTCCTTCATAACTCTTGTTCCTAGCACCCATGAAGTTGCTTTTGCTCATTACTCTCTGGGGAATGTGTAGATGGCATTGAGTTATCAATGTAAGGTCCCTCTTCTTCCCAGCACCAATGAAGAGACAAGGACATAGTCAATGTTGACCAGAAGGGCCCATTTGACAGTTCACACGATATTGCAAGTAATTTAGTTGATAGAAGCTGGGAATTCAACCTTTCCTACCCACCTGAAGGTAAGCAAAAGGATTGAATGTTTAAAGATCATATTTGGATCCTTCACCATGAATGAGAAGTCTCTAATGTTCTTGGGTTGATACACCTCCTGAGAACCACAAGCAAAACTACCTAGTTAAAACTATTTTTATCAACCAAAGCTCTCTTACAAGATACGATTCAAATGATTCTACTGGTCACCTGTTTGGATTCTATCCACTACATTGATGTATTTCTCATACCCTGGCCTACAACTTGGGACTGTTTGTAGAAAATCGCTCCTCCCAACAACTCATCTCTCCATAATGGAGGGAAGAGCCACACCAATAGCAATTCACAAGCTGCCCTCCAAAATTCCTCATCCTTGCATATGTCACTATGGCAGGGTCTTCTCAAACCCATGCGCTTCTATCCATAGGGCAGTGTCTTCTCAAACCCATACACGTCTAGTGTTTATTTAGTTTTGGCTAGTTTCTTGTGCTCAAGAAAAGCTAGTTAAAAATAAATTTATTGACCCAAAACTATCTAGTTAAAAAAAAAAAAAACTACCTAGTTAAAAATATCTCTATCGACCAAAGCTCTCTTAAAAGATGGGACTCAAATGATTCTACTGACCACCTGTTTGGATTTCATCCAGTACATTGATATATTTCTCATGTCTTAGCCTCGGGACTCTTTCTAGAAAGTCACGCCCCCGAATAATTCGTCTCTCTATAATCTAGTGGCATACCAACTTGCATATGGAGGGAAGAGCCACACCAATAGCAACGTTTTTGTTTTTTTGAGAATGTTAACTGTTATATATATATATATATATATATAAATAAGTAGAGATAGAGAGAGAGAGGGGGGGGGGGGGGGGAGTGGTATCCGCACATGGATAGCTCAGAGTACATGAACCTCTGAATGGGGGGGGGGGGTAGGACAGAATCCAAAAGCCTTCGTTTTAAAGATTACAATGATAAAGATGGAGCAACCAAGAAAAAGAAACTGATCCAAAAATCCAAAACACGATCCTAAGATCCATCATAGACAGCTGCTTCCTTGGCTAAGGTGTTCGTTGCCTGGTTTGACTCCCTCCATATATACTTTCACAAGACGCGCCTACCCCTGCAAAGGTGGTGAATCTCATTCAAAATGTGACCTATAATCCAAGGAGGGGGGGAGGAATTGCTGGCCCAAGCAATCACATTCATGGAGTCTCCCTCTATGATCATTGACTCGATACTATGGAGATGGATGAGTTTGAGTCCCTCAAGAAGTGCAGTGGCCTTTGCCTCCATAGAGTCAGTATGCCCAATAAATTTGGATGGAGCGGTAATAGTAGTTCCCGTGTGGTCCCTGAGGATTGCCTTGCCCCAACCCTGCAGGCCTAACACCCGTCGAAATTGAGCTTATGTTGACCCTGGTCAGGTGGTCTCCAATTTACCGCACGAGGTAGGCACCTCTTGTGGTACTGCAAAGTAGTTGCCCAGTCCTGGTGAAAGGTTGAGGGAGGGACCCCTTTAAAGCTTTTGTGGTTAGTAGCCCAAAACACAAGCTTAGCTTTAAACTTAACGAAGATGTTGTGGACGGAGGAGTCTTCCCCTCAAAAAATCATGTTATTGCGCTTCATCCACAGTGACCAGATCTACTAGCTACAATGGATTTCCATAGCTGAATTCCAGCCTTAGCCCAAGGGAAAGGTTGAATAGCACAAGGGGTCAGGGGGACCGTTTCGGGGACAACCCACTGGACTTGAAAATGCCCGAGTAACTTCCTCCAAAACTTGTATGCATAGGGACAGAACAGGAACAGGTGGGGGTTTGTCTCCTCAGCATTAAGGGAAAGAACATAGTGATTGAGTAGGGGAATTCCTTGCCTTTGAAGGTGATCAACCGTGAGAGCCTTTTGGGAAAATTCAATCAACAAGAAGACCTGAATCCTAGGAGGGGCAAAGGATGACCAAGCTTGTGCCGCCAAAGAGGGGGGGTTATGTGGAAAGGTAGGTGGTTGAGTGAGGTTGAGGAAGAACGAGGAAATCGAATGTATCCCTGATGGAGTAGGGGTCCAGATGATTCTGTCCTGCCCTTGAGAGGCAAGAAGCTTGAGCGAAGGATGCCCGCCAGGTCTGAGAAAGTGGGGATCTCCGAGTCGACAAGCGCACGCCTGAACACTGCGTTCCAGGCTCTAGAGGATCCAGCCACTATCATTTCCTCTGCCACTAATCGCTCCTTGAGAACAGGCGAGCGAAAAGATTTCCAGGAACCTCATCTTGAGAGAGGGTCTTGACCAAGCCAGGCGCTACTGCCCTCTTTAGGATGGAACCGGATACACCTTTTGAAAAACTAAAAAGTGGAACAAATAGAGCACCAAATTCCAGAGGATCTATGATAGGTTCTGCTAACAGGTAGCCACAGGGATTGGGGTATCTGGTATTTAAGCCTCAAAATGTTTATGCACAAGTGGCCCCTAAGAGTAAGGAAGGCGCCATCACCACTTTCCGAGGAGTGCGACATTCTGCATTTTAAGGTTTCTAATTTCTAGGCTTCCTAATCTCTTTGGGAGGCAGAGTTTTTCCCATTGAATAAAGTGAAACTTATGGTTTCCAGCCTCGCCCTCCCAAAAGAATCTGCGGATAAGCTGCTAGATCTGAGTACTGACTGCCGTAGGCATCCAGTATAGGGACATTTGGTAAACTGGGATGTTTGCTAGTGTAGTCTTTAGAAGAGTAAGCCTTGCCTGCGCGGGATAAGAACCGGCCCTTCCATCCTGCCAATTTACGGTCTACCTTGTCAAAAATGTGCGACCATTGTCTCTTTTTAGGTTTGCCCTAACATAGAGGTAAACCAAGGTAATTGGATGGGAGATTAGTCGCCTCACATTCCCAACTATCCGCGAATGCTTTCAAAGTAGGAAAATCCATAGCTATTCCCATCATCTTAGTCTTCTTGAAGTTGAGTTTGAAACCAGTAACTAACTCAAAGCAATGTCAATTCACAAACTGTCCTCCACAATTCCCCATTTTCACAGACTTCACCGAGGAGGAGGTGCCTTTTACCTATTGGGCAGCGTCTTCTCAAATCCATGTGCCTCTAGTGTTTATTTAGTTTTGGCTAGTTTCTTGTGGTCAAGAAAAGCTCTTGATAGAAAGAAGTTAAGGAACCTTGAGCTTATGCCATTTCCCAAATGCAGGATTCTAGCGGATCCCCTAAGTCGGCATTCGCTACTGGATTCACTTTTTGCTTGAAACTTACTTCAAAAGTAGGAGCAACAAAATGGAGAGTGGTGGATAGTGCATCTGTAGGAGAGAGAGGCAATGTCCGAAAAATTCCGGGCAGTGCTTAAGCTGCCTTGGGAGGGGGTGGTCCTGACTGCTTGGGCAGCCGCACAGATTTCTGGGCGGCCCAGGTGGAAGAACAGGGGTGGCAGGTGTCGAAAGAACTGATTTAGGTTCAAATTGTGTGTTAAAAATGCATATTGCATACATTTTTTTATGTTCAATCAATCCAAACTCCAAAGACAAACCAAAGTATTTGAGATTTGGACAATTAGTTAATAACACATTAAGAAAAATAGGAAAATATAATCCAGCATTCAAATTCGGTATTACGGGCAACCCAGGACTGGCAGGAATAGGGGGCATCTTTAGAAACCATGTTGGAATTTCCTCTCTTTCGCCTCTTCTATTGGCATAGCGGATTCCGCTGAGGTAGAAGCCTGTGCTCTCTTGGAAGGCCTCAAACTTTTCAACCCCTCATGGAGCACTGTCCTGGTTGTTGAGGGTGACTCTAGAAATATCAACAACTGGGTCTCACAACTATCTTTGATGAGATTTTCTATATTTGCAGGCATATGCAGGTCTTGTGGATGCATACCTGGAGGGAGGTCAATTAGGTGGCCGACGCACTAGCTTAATAACGAGCTTCTATGGAGTTGTCCTAAGCTGTGTCTCTTTATGCCTGCTTCTCCCGTCTCTGTGTGACTGTTTGGTGTATCTTTTGAACTTTCATTTTGTGCTTGTAATCTGTCTGGTGTATCTTTGGAGATGGATGAGTTTGAGCCCTGCTCGGGCAGTTTTTGCACCTCTTTTATTCTTACCCTTAATAGAAGATCAACAGTTGCAAAAAAGCATTCAAATTCAGTACTAAACTACTGGTAGACTAGATAACAAGTACCAAGTACTAACACAATCACAAGGAAAATATAATAATCATATAATCACAAACTCACAATTTACAATTCACAAAACAGAGCTTATAATCCATATTCCATAGTCCAAAGCCCCTCCCAATCATCATAGAGCCATACTTCTTATTAACTCGTACACGCAATGACATGGCACATAGTCTATAGTCCCACCCCAAAGGGGGGGAAGTAAAAAAATGCGCCTCCACGAGGGTCATTTTTGCCCCTAGGCGGGCACAGTCCTTGAGCACCCGTCCCAGGGCGTTGCTGGGGCCCCACCTAGGTAGGCGCCCAGGAGGGATGCCTAGGCCTGGGTGATGCACACAGGCCCCCCTGGATCGCCTAGGTGCTAGGCGGGCCCTTTTTTGGAACATTGGAGAGAGGTCACAGTAGTAACATTCAATAAATTAGGCTCTAGTCCTCTTGTTAGCACAAAGCCTTTGCATTTTGCAAGATGCATTTGCAAAGCTTTTGAAGATTTTAATGGGAATCCAAATAAAGAACCAGAGCTTCTACAAGGCACTTAGATGAGCTGTTCATGAATGGGGTATGAGCCGTGCTGACACTAGTAATCCACCACAATTATCTCTGACGACACATCCTCATTAGAAACTTCGGCAATCTCAGTCTGCCTGATTATGTTCCTTTTCCTGGTCATTTTACTCAATTTCCAAGCTTTTGATGTTTATTGGTTTAGTACTCGCATGGACAGACATGGTGTGTTTTGGGGTTTGCCATTCCTGTATAAACCTTCTTAAGGTGGAGAAACAATAGTGGTACATTGACACACTCCCCTGACTCATCCGCCTTAGGGATGAAATTATGGAAACTAGCGTAAAAGTAAACCAGATGGATCCCCTATAGATTCCAACCAATAAAAAAAAAGCTCATTTGTGCCATGGCCTTCAGGATCTGTCCAGCTAGGGTCTTAAATTTTATTTCAAGTTTTTGGTAAGATGAAAATGTAGGAGCAATTGCAGATTGTTGGTTCTTGTAAATGTGATTGGTTTCTATGAATCGGTAATCTTTGATCAAACTGCTTAATTAAAAAAAAAAGGAAAGAAAGAAAAATGATAATCTTTAATATTTGGTTTTCAGAAAGCTCTTGTATACAATTTTTGATGCTCATTCAGTGGCTTTTGAGGAATTTTGGTGCTTGGTGCAGCTTCAAGAGATGGTAACCTGCCCATTCCGGCAAGTGAAACATCAAAGAACACACTTGTAGTGTTATTTATATGTTGATTATGATTCAATGGTTCAATAGTTTGTTTCCTTGACTTTCCGTACCCCCTTTGCTGGTTTCTGTGATCAATAAGCCAATTGAGGAAGACAGATGGAGCTTTCCAGAAGTTCCCATGGAGGAAGACTAATGGCACCTTCCATCTTGTAGCAGTAACCAGCATCTGAAGTTTTGTTCTTGCCAATTATTCTTCCCTTTCTGTATTAATTTCCATCATATGTATTAATTTTCCCATTTTCTTGGTCTCAATTCGAGCCAAGTTTTGTCCTTTCGAGACTGATAACTGCGAGTCTGAATATGCAAGTTATTTCAATTGACTTAACCATTATTTGTTGAGATGACGAGTCTTTGGATGAAATCTGTAGAGTTTCATGGTATGATTGCATGGTTCTGAGAGGAAATATTGGGTTATCCCAGGCTTCCACCCAATTCTTGAAATAGATGGTTTGAGCATGACAAGAAGGTTTTGTTTTCTATATTGCAACAATGGACCAATAGGCAGAGTTAGGACCCACATCAAAAGATACTTAGTTGTGGATAATCATATTGTTGAATGAACTTGAGATCCTTACTAGTGTTAACTAATATGTATTCGGCCGCCTAGGCGGGCACCTAGTTCACTAGCCCTAGGGAAGCTATATAGAGGGGTTGGGAACTATAGGTTTTTTAAGCAAGGGATTATATATAATGAGACTGTTACCTTTGGTGCAAGGAGGTTACAATTGTTAATAACCATCCGATGTGAAATATGATAGTTTGGGTGTGTTACAAAGTTTGAGATTTTTTGTTTGATCTTTGAGTTTCAATGGCATAAATGGAGCAATTTAATTTTACGTCCAATGGTCGAGATTAATTGTGATCACTTTGTATCAAAGATAAATGGTTTTATTGTATGATTTTCTTTTTTGAAATACTAGTAAGGCATGTTATCTGACTTTTAGTACACCGTATTGTATATATATATCAAATGTGAACTTGCCATTTAATTACATAAATAAGGTTTTAAAAATTAAATAAAAAAGGGTTATATACAATGAGGCCATTTACTTTTGGAATAAGGAAGTCATAATTACTATCAATCGGAATCCGATAGTTTGGGTTTATTGTAAAGTTCAATAAATTTTTTTTTGAACTTTGAGTTTGATCAAAAGAATAAATGCAGCTGCCTAACTTTACATCCAATGGTCAATATTAGTTATGACCTCTGTGTACCCAAGCTAAATGGTCTCATTGTATATTTTTCCAAAATAAAAATATGCACTCCACACAATTAGAGCATGAGCTATATTTTCACCTTGGAATACATTGTTAAAACAAGAAGAGGACATGTTCACCGAAATCAAATCCTGAAAGTGAAAGCAAATTGAAATTTTATTAAAATGGAAATAAAATGCTTTATAATTGATAATTACATAATGGGTTTTGTTAGGTTATATCACGTTTGGTGTAAAGCCTTATCTTGCACAACAAAAAGTTGACCAAAATATATAAAACTTTCCTCCAAATCTCTCTCCAAAATATATAAAACTTTCTTCCAAATCTCTCTCCAAGAGTCGTGGTTCCCAATTTGCCATTCCCTCACGTCTTTGATATGAGAGATGTAGATAAATGGAGTCTCCATCCCACATGGAGTGTGTACGCCCCACAAGCATTGTCCACGGCCTTTGCCTACACCCCATTTGTAATGGGCCTGCAATACCATACTAGGGGCCCGAAAGCCATATCTCAATGACACTTATTTCTCTCTCTAGAGAATCTGTTTGTTTTTCTCTCTAAAGAGTGATTTTTCCCTTTACACCATTGCTTTACCAATAATTGGATTCAATCAGGGAAAATTAGTGGATTCTTTGTATAGTTTTTTTGAATTGTGATTTATTTTGCTCAAGGTTTCATTGAGGGCTATTTTTCCGACCTTTTTTTAATGTGTAAAAGTCTTATGGAGAGATTGGAGTTCACATATTTGCCTGATTTTTGAGCTTTGTGAGTTGCGATAAAGACGATGGCAGTTAGAGTGAGAAGCGATCTTGAGAGAGAAGAGATTCTTGAGAGAGAGGAAATGGTCCACTATGTGGACAACAAATGTCATTCAGCGATCTTAGACAGGAATGGCATTTAGCCCTTCTTGAGAGAGAGAGAAAATGGTCCCGTCTGTGGATAGGAAATGGCATTCACTGAAAGCCTGTACAGAGAGAGAGGGCAGATAGGTTTTGCTAGCTAATAGTTGATCAGGGCTTCGCTTCATTAAAGCTTTGTACAACCGGGTTTGTTATTGCACATAGAGAAATAAATTTGAAACTTTGAGATATTTTCTCTCTCTTAAAAATTAAAATTTGATATAAATTTTCTCTCCAAAATTTTTAAGGCAATTTCTCTCTTCAAAATTTTTGAGATAGTTTCTATCTCAAAAACATTTTAGGTAGTTGCTCTCTTTAAAATTTGATATAGCTTCTCTCACTAAAATTTTAAGATGCTTTCCCTTTGTAACTTAAAATTTAAGATAATTTCTCTTGAAATTTTGAGATAGTTTTTCTTTCTAAAATTTTTTAGGCATTTTCTCTCTCTAAAATTTGATGTAGTTTTACTCTCCGGAAATGTTAAGCTACTTTCTCTCTTTAAAACTTGAAATTTGATATAGTTTCTCTCTTAAAATTTTTGAGATAGTTCTCTCTCTAAAAAGTTTCAGGTTGTTTATCTTTCTAAATTTTGATATAGTTTCTCTCTCTAAAACTTAAAATTTGATATCATTTCTCTCTCTAAAAAAGTTGAGATAGTTTCTTTCTAAAAAATTAGGGAATTTCTTTCTCTAAAATTAGATAGTTTCTTTCTAAAAAATTAGGGAATTTCTTTCTCTAAAATTTGATGTAGTTTATCTCTCTAAAATTTTAAGATAATCTATCTCTCTAAAGCTTAAAATTTGAGATAATTTACCTCTCTAAAATTTTGGAGATAGTTTTTCTCTTTAAAATTTAGGTATTTTCTCTCTCTAAATTTTTGAGATACGTTCTCTATCTGAAACTTAAAATTTGAGATAGTTTCTATATCTAAAAATTTTGAGATATTATTTCTCTCTAAAAACGTTTAGGTAGTTTCTCACTTTAAAATTTGACATAGTTTCACTCTCTAAACAATTACGATGCTTTCTCTCTAAAACTCAAAATTTGATATATTTTCTCTCTCTAAAAATTTTCAAGAAAATTCTTTCTAAAATTTGATATAGTTTCTTTCTCTGTCTCTAAAATTTTAAGATACATTTTCTCTCTAAAACTTTAAAATTTTATATAGTTTCTCTCTCTAAAAATTTTGAAATAATTTCTCTGTAAAACAATTTCGGATAGTTTCTCTTTCTAAAATTTGATAGAGTTTCTCTATCTAAAATTTTAAGATACTTTCACCTTCTAAAACTTAAAATTTGAGATACTTTTTCTAGTTTCTCTCTAACATTTTTCCAGAAATTTCTCTCTGGAAAATTTGATATAGTTTTTCTATCTAAAATTTTAAGATACAGTTTCTTTCTAAAACTTAAATTTTTTTATAGTTTCTCTCTATAAAATTCTTGAGAGAGTTTCTCTCCCTAAAAAATTTGGATAGTTGATCTCTCTAAAATTTGAAGAGACTTTAGCGATCTAAAACTTAAAATTTGATATAATTTCTCTCTCTAATTTTTTTTTATATGTTTTCTCTCTAAAAAGTATCAAGTAATTTTTCACTCTAAAATTTGATATAGTTTCTCTTTCTAAAATTTTAGGATACTTTTTTTCTCTAAAACTTACAATTTGATATGGTTTCTCTCTCTAAAAAAATTAGAGAGTTGCTCTCTCTAAAAATTTTCAGTAGTTTCTTTCTCTAAAATTTTAATATATTTTACCTCTCTAAAACTTAAAATTTGAAGTACCTTCTCTCTAATTTGTAGGAATGTTTTGGTAGAATTAATTATATTTAATAAAATGAGTTGCTCTAGTGTGTAAAAATGGTAATATCATCAGTTGTATTCTACTGTACTCCCTCTTTCATGCTTACACAAAGTCATGTTTTGGATAACCTAATTTTTTTTTTGTTTTTTGTGTACCTATATTTTGATTCTCTATTTTGGTTACAGAAAATATAGTTATGTATAAAAAAAGTTGCCAAATATATTTTTATGCGAGATACCCTAAGAATAGAAAACATGGTTTTGGATATCGTAGGATCCCAACGACCCAGCGTTAGAAGCCATTTGTTTACAAATACTTGAAAGAAGTGACATCTTATTTTTTATTAATTTCTTGCATAGAAGAAACATTCATTTATATTTGTCGTGTAATTGCTGTAGCCCGTCAATGGTACCCGTCCACTTTGCCTTATCGTTCTTATTTAGTTATTTATTTTTCTATAAGTAAATCTGGCTCATGACTATGCTCGGTTAGAGATTTAGTAGGATATTAGTTGCGTTCTCTATAGATTTGAATGTATATTAGTTAGTTTGTTTTACATTCTAAAAAATTAGAATTAAAATTAGGATTATCTCAATCGCTACAGTCTTGGGACTATTGTAACCAAGTTGTATATGTACCATGTTCCACTACTGAATGGAATACTCCAAAGATTAACAAGGTATTAGAGCTTATCTGAGGTGCCATAGCCATTGGAGAAAAGCTATAAGTAGCAGGTGTGGGCTCTTGTGAAGCAGATACTATTGGCCTCAAAGGTCCAGCTGGAAATACCTTCACATATTTTTTGTTCGAGCTTTCCTTCTTCTAACTTTGCATGCGGGCTGGTTAAAGCAGGTCCTGAAATAGTTTTGCTAGTGCTAGTCCTAATTTCTAACTGGCAAATTAGGAGAGGGAGAAAGGAGCGTCTAGAGGGAGAAGGGAGAAAGAAGAAAGTGGAGTCTTTTTTTGGTGCATAGAAATAGAGAGAGCGCTATCACTTGGAGGTTACACAGAAGCTAGCAAAGCGAAGGTCTTCATCACTCTCAAATATGGGGTTGCTTTCCCAAACTCCAGCAGTTGCCATGTCCTCTCTCTCTCACTTCGGTGGTCTCAGTCTCACTGACTCTCTCTCTCACATCGGCCTATGTCCTCTTTCTTTGTTTCTGTCTCTATGAGGTCCAGTGTTTTGTTGCTGTTTTTTTTTTTTTTGGTGCTACATCGTGCGTGCACGAGTCCCGGGTTTATGCACAGGTTTGTGTGGTCTTCTTGAGCACATGCTGTTGTTTTCTTTTAGCACAAATTTGTGAAAACTTTTAGTGTAGTTGGTGACTACGATTCTGTGCACAAGTTTGATCAATTTCTTCAGTCTTTTCAACTGCTTCCGTGCACAGATCTGTGCAAGTTCTTGAGTGGTTACTGCTGTTTTTTTTGCATGTACTAGTCTTTGCAA